TCCATATCTGACAAAGACCATATGCTGTCTTGACTCTCTGTGCTGAATCTTTTGAGCAGTCACTTTTCTTATAACAGGAAAACTTCAGTTTGCTTACTTTTTATGGACATTGCATTGAATCTGAACTAAAGCTGTGCTTAGAGCAGATTCAGCCATCATCATCTTTTAATGGCCCCATAATCCCTTGCGGGGTGGAGTCTGGGGAACTGAGTTACCCAGTTCAGTTACAGTAGATTCATTGAAGTCAGTAAAATGGGGTTATGACTAATCTGTTCAATTTGATTCAAGTTATATTAGACAATTATGTTTTGAAGCATATATTAAGCTAAATAAATATAACTTGGATAGTTTTGAAAAAGATGGCCCATCTACTACTTCTGATATATCCTCTTACAAGAAAGTGCCATGGTGGTAAAGAGATTAACACTTAGAAAGCCGCATTTTCTAAGTTTATTTTAATTAGCCATGAAATATCTGTTCTATTTACAACCATTTGAATGGTAGGGTTATTGGGGAGGAGGGGAGCAAGTTTAAAGTAAAGACAGTAGATGGGGGCAGGATACAAGAAGGAGCAAAAAAGAGAAGAAAAATCAAATTGAATGGGTTAATAACAGAATCTTTGAGTGGAAACACAATCTTTGGGCAGAAAATACGGGTACCTGAAAAGAAGACATGGTGAGTTTCCTTTCTTCTGGCTAGCTAAATAGATGACTGTGAATAATTTCTGGTTAGCAGATGGTAACACAATGCATTGGCCTCTATGATGTGTGTAGTAGTTTCGTTAACAGTTCCTGGTTTTCCCATTTGTAGTGATGGACAGAAGTACATTGTACCCCCTGGCTATGAACGTAAACAGCTGTGTGTGGCTACATGCAGAGACAGCTGGCAGAGAGGGAAAGTATCAGAGAGAACAGTCCCCTCTTAAATGGTTTCAATATTATTTTACTGAGGAAGTGCAAAATTATACTTAATAAGTAAATAAATAAATGACAATGGTGAGAGAAGCAAACGGAAAAAGGAGAGATCCTCATAAACTGAGTCAAGGTTGACTTAGACTTCCATCTTTCCGAGGTCGGTAAAATGAGGACCCAGATTGTTTGGGGGGGGCAATATGCTGACTCTGTAAACCATTTAGAGAGGGCTGCAAAGCATTGTGAAGTGGTATACAAGTCTAAGTGCTATTGCTATTGCTATAATAGCTACTAGCTATAAATATTTCATGTCAGCAGAATAAAGGTAATTATATTCCTGCTAGAACCTTTTTCTGTGTATTTCCAGTGTATCACTGCCTTCAACTTTCTCTCATCTGTCTGTTTCTTCTAAAGTGCCCATGAAATAAAGATTAGTTGAACAATCGGTAATGTTTCAAAAGAGAAACTGGGCCTGTCTCAATTTGGGGAGACTGCTGTGCACTTTGTTCTTACAACACCAACAGGCGGGAAGAAGCTTATTCCCCAAAGAGGGAATAAGCTTGGTGGTGAGACACAGGAGCATTACAACTGGTGCAATTTCTTAGGCTGAGATGGAGAGAAGAAGGAAAAGGGAAGATTTAAGAAGAAAAGTGGGGGCAGTGAACTTTTAGGACAGACACATTGATCCATATCTTTCCCTGAATAGGTAAGCAAGGAAAGTAAGGATGGGGAAATTACACCCATTGCTTCTTCTAGAATCTGATACTTTTCTGCCATCCTTTTGAGAAAGTCAACTTTTTGAACAATTGCAAAATTTTTAAGAAAAAAGACAAATAGAATATCTAGGGAATCACTGCAGAATTCCAGAAAAACCATTCACCCACATTCCCCACAATGCTTGAGATACAGGTGTAATAGCAATGAAGGATTGATGAGTCCTAATATAACTTTTATCACTGCTTTCAAGTGTCATATATTGGCTTTAAAGCAGTAACTTCTTTTCAGCAGCATCTGCACAAATTCCTAAACATTGCAACGGGGAACACTTAGTAACATCTCTTAGAGCATTCAAGCAATCTTGAAAGGAGAAGAAAACTCCATTCAGCACCAAAACTTTCAGATTACATGAGATATGTTCAGAAAGCTCAGCAGTCCAAGTGTCTCCATTGCAACCAATACACATATTATTTTCATTTAGCTGTTTTGAGAGCCAATTTGTCCAGCATTAAAAGGTGATTTACTAGAACAGAAGCAAAGCCCCAAAGACAGGTGGAGACATTTGCTCACCAGCCAAAGGGTGTTTGGAGCTGTAGGATATCTTGCTTTATGCTTTATAATTGTAGAATTATATTCTACAAAAATTGGGTGGACAGGATTAATGGAGGAGGTGATTAGGTATACTCAAGACAAGTAGAGTTGGTGGAGATGAGGGGTAAGAAATAAGAAATAATTTCAAGGTTCTAAAAAGCATCTGTCATTTGTTTGAACTTTACAAATGTGCTGAAGTAGGATGGAAAGACATCTCAAATAATAGGCAGGGAGCATTGGCAGAATGGAGAACTTTTTTTCCATATGCTGATTTTAAGCCCTTAAAGCTTTTGACTGCACTTTTATCTTCAACTAGATGTTACTTTCTGGTTCACTTGGGAGATTTTAATTCAGTTAAGCAAATGACCCTCAAGATATTTACAGAAAGAACAACAACAACAACAAAAAATCAGCTGCCCATAGAAAAAAACTTAACTGTTTAAGATAATTATGTTCTGGTTTAAATGACATCTGTATTCCAATATACATTCTTCAGCTGCCCGATCCTAGAATTAAGGAAGGTCATTGACTTATCACTGGAAGACAATATCAATTAAGCAGCCCAGTCAATGATGGCACATCAACCACAATCAGAACTGATCAAGTTACAAGTTACACAAATCCCGGGTTAATGGAAGCAAATACAAGATTACTTTGGGTATGCATACAGTATGTGCAGTATCTGGTGTGTCTTCTTTCATAGAATGCTTTACTGTATATCCATGTATTGATCCATGCCACCAAAGGAACCCTCCATCCTTCTGTCCCTATGAATGTGCAGGTTTTCATGTGATTTGGGAAGCTGTAGGCTAGACTGGGAAGTAAGGCAATGGAAGAAAAGGCAATGGCCATTCCCACCCCCATCTTGCCAACAAAAGTACATGGATGTATCCACGTAAGTCTCCAGGAATCAAGCTCAGGTGGAAGGGGACTTTATTTTACTTTTTACTCTCTGAGGTAAACCACCCATGCTTTCCAAAAAGAGGAAGTTTTGTATCAACCTTCACTGCAAAGGACGCAAACTGGGCAAAGAGGCCAGAACTGAATGTTCTCTCTATTATGCACCATGTTGAGATAAGGCAGGTTTCTGTGGCAGACTGACTAGGAAACCAATAATTTTGGATTCTGTAGAAAATACCCTCAGCAATGTTTGGGCCAACCTCCTGGACAGTTCAGATTCATTTACTACACACACACACACACACACACACACACACACACACACACACACACACCAAGAGGAACTTCTGGATTAGGAAAACGACGATTTCCTAAGGACAGAAAGGCTGGCATGTGAAAAAGCTCTTGAAAACTAGCCAGACGCTCGCGCGCTCTTTCTCTCCGGGAACTTTCTTGTACCTGTTTGCTTCCTCTTTACAGTTCTCGCCACCTTTAGATGGGAAGCGGGCTCTGGCCAAGGCGCAGCCCTTTGGATTTAGGATGGAGAGCAGCGGCGGTCTGGTAGCAAAGCAGCGAACCCGAAGAGCCCTCACCTGGGTCAGGATGCTGGCTGCGGGGCGCGGAATAAAAAAAAAAGGAAAGCCACCCCTTCCTCCTGCAGCGCTAGAAAGCTGCCGGTGAACAGCGCCAAAGCCAAGCGGGGCGCATGTCCTAACGGTACTCAGAAATAACCGTCGTAACACTTGGCAGGGGTGTAGTAGACTCCCGACTGCCCTCGGAGAGGACTTCATTCAATCCATCCATCCATCCATCCATCCATCCATCCATCCATCCATCCATCCATCCATCGGAGCAGACTCACACATCCAGTTCTTGACTGGCTCTACCCTCATCACACAATACAACCAGAACCAGAGGTCGAGGGGAAAAAGATCGGGGGACGAGCTTCGCCCACCGCTATTCCTCCCGCGGCAGGCAGAACAAGCGGGAAAGCAGGTTTCGGAGGAAAGCCCCGACATGCCAAGGCTGGCCGGGCTTCGGGCTCCAGGGACTTACCTCTGCTCGGAGAACGACTCTCTTGTTGCGCTCCTTTTGTTGGGGGGGGGGGGGGGGGGAGGGACCCCGTCTCCTCCCCACTCCTCTTCCTCCTCCGCCTCGGAATTACGGAGCGTTAATCCACCCAAATCATTGAAATCCTCCACCGCAAGTCCCCAGCGCTGGCATCGATCGGTATTCCTAAAGTCGTTCAGCTGCTCCCGCCTGCCTTCAGTCCGTCATGCCTCCCGAGAAGCTCCCTCCGTTTGCGCGGCTGCTGCTGCTGCTGGTGGTGGTGCCGGCTGCCGGCGTTCTAGCTGGGGCTTTGCGAAAGGCTTTGCCCAGCCCGGTGCCTTTCGGACTCCTGCCTGGCATCGGCAGTTCCCAGAAGCCTTGCCTGGCTGGCTGCCGTCCCCGCGGGCTTCCCTTCCAGCGCCGCTTCCTCCGGGGATGTGGATGGGCTGGTTCCCCGTCTCCCTCTCCCTCCCCTCCCACCCTTTCCCTCAGCCTGCCGCTCGCTGGCTCGCTTGCTGCCAGCGCCACAGCCGCTCTGCACTCCTTCCTCGGCTCTAGCCTGGCACGGCGCTCATCAGCCCCCCACCGGTGGGAGCAGCAGCAGCGGCGGCGGCGGCGGCGGCGGGAGCGCCAGCAGCCTGACGGCTAAAGCCGGCCTCCTTGGATCGCCGCGCTGCTCATTAACATACAGTCACAGCGGGTTAACCCTTCCCCAACCAGCCCTTCGATCATGCCAGGCCTTTCCCAATTTGCTGCAGTCTCGCCTCCCCCCCCACCCCCACTTTCTCTCCTCTGCCTCCCTCTCCCACTCCCGGCGACGTCAGAGCCAAGCGAAATCAAACGTGTGTATGCGTGTGTGTGTGTGTCTGTGTGGATCCGAAGGCACCGGCGCAGGGGACCGTTTAAAAATAGGTCCGCGCCAGCAGTTGGGATCCCCCGGGGGCTAAGAGGAAAGAGCCCCCTTCGCCCATCCATCGAGGTCGGCTACTTGGCGGAGGGGAGTGGGGAAGGACCAGAAAGGGGGGGGAGGTGGAGGAGAAGGAGGCAACCCCCAACTCCAAGCCTACCCAAAGGCCGACCTATCGGAGGGAAAAAAAGGACCGAAAGGTAAAAGGGGCGAGGAACCTCCCGTCGCCCAACCTGCTCAGGTACACACACAGCTGGGCCGCTCTTGAAGGGATGGGTCTTCTACGGCCAAAATAGGAGTCGAAAGGGAAGGAATCTCGCCTCCTTTCCCTGCAGCCTTGCGGTTTATTCGAGCGCTGGCCTCTGTTTCCCCGGAGGGTTTAAAACTCGGAAGCGAGCGCCTCCGGGTTCCGCTGCATCTTTCACCCGAGTAAGCGAGCGAGCGTGGGATCGCCCGCCTTCTAAGGATACCCACGGGAGTCTTGCCTGGATTTTGCTTTCCTCTTTTCTCCTCTCCCCCCAGCTTCCTTTCTGCTTGTTGCGCGTTCTAATTAAAGTCTCCGGCGAGAGTTGCAATTATTTAATGGAGGGGTTGAAGTTTCTAATAGAGGAGGTTGTTGGGCATAGCCTTGACAATTTGTCATATCCTTCCATTCCTACCTGCCTACAAGTACCGTAATGAGATTTGTTTTCAGATTGAAGTGCGCCAGACCTCTGAGCCGGGGAAGGGAGGCGGCGACGATGTATATAATCTCTTCTTCGCTCTCAAAAGCAGAAAACAGCAATTTTGACTTGATCTCTCTGAAAATGCAGCGAATAAGGTGAGCAGGTGTCTGGGAGGAAGGCAAGAAATTAAAGAAGTCAACAGTACCATAAGTTAGAAAAGCGCTGTGACGGGGAGGGGAAAAAACCAACAAGCCACAGCGTCTACCTTACAACTCTAGAGGTGTCGCTCATGGGAGATCTTCGTGGCAATCTAAAAACAACAGATTAGAAAACGTGAACATTAAAATGCATGCAAGAATAAACCTCTTTGTTAGACAAACAAACATGATTTAGGAGATCCTTTGGCAAAGGAGCTGGGAAGGAAAAGAACATTAAAAAGTGATTAATCAATCTGCTCTACCAGTCAAAAGGATTTTCTGATTGCAGATGGTTCTTTTAATTTAGGAGCCAAAGGAAGAGGGAAAGTCAACAAATGAAAAGCCAGTAAAACTGGGCTGCATCCACCTCTTGATTGTATGTGGAGTCAGATAGCCCTGCTGTTTTTGCAACATGGAGGCTAACCCTTTCATCCCCTTCTGTTTTCCCAAGGAAAAAGTAAGGGTGCTGTGCAAATTCAGGCTTTTATGCTGCCCGCAGAAACTTGTGTTCAACTAATTCTTTCCAATCATTTTCTTTTGTTTCTGGTGCTGGATCTCTGTGCCAATGGAGAAGAGAATTAAGGCTGGAATTCCGATCGATATATATATATATATACACATTTGCAGGCTCTTATCATCTGATCATTACTATAACAATGGCAACATTAGTGTTTGAATATTTATTGTGTTGCTGGAATAATGTCTGGCCAAGAAGTCCAGGAAATGTCCAGTGAGGTTATCCCACCTTATACTTACAACAGCCAAGTCTCCTGGGTTCAAATCAAACAGTCTAGCTATTATCCCACCAGGCTGCCTTGAAAATTCTGGCCCCGAATCAGTGTAAATTATATGCTCAGCCAGAAGGTTTGGGCTCAATTAGGAGGAGATTTAAGGACTAGCAAGCATTCAGTATAAATCTCAACACCCTATTATTTATTATAGCTAAAGAAATAGCTTCAGCACAGGGTCTCCTATAGCAAGACTCATGGCAAAATACTGACTGGGTTCACACATCAAGCTAAGTGATAGTATGTATAATCATGGTTAATTGAATAAGCCATAATTGGCTGGTTTTGCACACTAAATCATAAACCATGTTTTTATAAGCCATAGTGTTTGAGTTTACACCACATACCAAGCTAAAACCAAATAAATCACTGAAACTAGCATGTTATATATACTTTTGAAATACACAAATTATTCATATGGCCACACAAAGGATTTTCTGCCCTTAGCTTTTATTTTCCAAGGCAGCTTAAGGCACTGGAGTGAGCAGCAAGAAAATGGTCTAAAGAACTTAAAGGAATTTTGGTTTTAAATTTTTCCCCAAAGTTGAGCCGGCCTGTGGGAGTGAAGCAACTTTGTCACTCATTACCAACAGAATTATACAACTTCTGTGCAGAAGGTAGAGACTTTCCTACATATGTTTTGTAACTAAAGTAAGAAACTATTTCTCAGCACAAAATAACACAGTTGGGAGGTGTACTGAAGGAGGTTTCAGTAAATAAATACTTATCAATAACGATAGATTATAGCTATGGTCGGTGCAAAAAATGAAACTTCAGTTGAAAGATGTTCAATCAGCACAAAATCAAACAAGGCTTAATTCATTTAAACATATATCAAGATTTTAATATGCCTTTAAAAGGACAAAAGAGAGTAGAACCGAAAGAAAGCCCAAGATGCAGGGGTGAAATCCAGCAGGTTCTGACAGGTTCTGCAGAACCGGTAGTGGAAATTTTGAGTAGTTCAGAGAACTGGCAAATACCACCTCTGGCTGGCCTAGAGTGGGGTGGGAATGGAGATTTTGCAATATCCTTCCCCAGGAATGGGGAGGGAATGGGGATTTTGCAGTATCCTTCCCCTGGAGTGGGGTGGGAATGGGGATTTTGCAGTATCCTTCCCCTGCCATGTCCACAAGCCACGCCCACCAAGCACACCACACCCACCAAGCCACGCCCACAGAACCGGTAGTAAAAAAAAATCACCACTGCCAAGATGGAAATTTTAGCAATACATTCTGATTTAAAAGTAAAATTCAACTAAATTCAGTGGAACTAGCTCCTAAATAAGTATATCTGAAGATGTAATCCTTGAGTAAATTTCATTGACTTCTGTGAGACACACTTTGTAACAGATTGCAGCTTTACATTGTAACATATCTAGCACTAACAAAACCTGGGAGAAAGAACAAATGAAATTCTTCGGAGAGATTTCCAAAAATAAGGCTACCGCTAAATATTGTACTATGGATAGTCCTCAACGTACAACAGTTCATTTAATGACTGTTTGAAGTTACAACATCACTGAAAAAAGCACCTTATGACCGTTTTTCACATTTATGACCATTGCAGCATCTCCATGGTCACATGATCAAAATTCAGATGCTTGGCAACTGAACACATATTTATGACGGTTGCAGTGTCCTGGGGTTATGTGAGCATCTTTTGTGACCTCCTGACAAGCAAAGTCAATGGAGAAGCCAGATTCACTTTACAATCATGTTACTAACTTAACAACTGCAGTGATTCACTTAACCACTGTGGCAAGAAAAGTTGTAAAATGGGGCAAAATTCACTTAGCAACAAAAATGTGGGGCTCAATTGTGGACGTAAATTGAGGACTACCTGTATTTCCTTTTGTTGCTTTTGGCTTCAACATATAATTGTAGCATTCAGGCAGGAAAAAGCTCTCCTATGAATTAAACTCCCTACCAGGTTTGATTGAGAAATAAGTTTAAGTGCATCTTAAACTTCCCCTAATAAAAAAGTGATATTATAAAAAGCCTTTATAGAATCATGAGCGAGAACTAATAATAATGAAATTATTATAGTAGGAAAACAAAACAAAACAATGAGGACAGTGTTAATAAAGCACAAATTTATATTTGGTTAATGACTCATGCATATCAAATCTCTCCCTAAAAACAGTCAGAATGACTGCGGCACAACTGATGGCATAATGTAGCTATATAGCCGTGATGCCGAACCTATAGCACGAGTGCCGGAAGTGGCATGCAGAGCTATCTCTCCTGGCACACGAGCTGTCACCCGTTGCTCTTCTGGGTTCCGGCTCGCCGGCCAGCTGGTCTTCATGTGCCTGGGAGCATTGGAAACTGGAAGACCAGCCGCCTAGTGCACATACATGCACAGGGAAGCTGCTCTTCCGGTTTCTGTCATGTGCATGCGCACCAGCCAGTTGGTCTTCCTCAGTGGTGGGTTCCTCCTGGTTCGGCCTGGTTCGGCCGAGCTGATAGCGGTGACGATATGACATCACCGAACCAATTCTCTTTGTTCGGGAGCTAGGCCCTCCCGCCCCCCAGCGTTATTCTTACCTTTTATTTGGCCCCGCCCCCAATCTATTCGCTCCCGAGCCCCAGCTGATGGCTAGAAGGAAAAAAACTGTTTAAACTCTTGCCACGGGGCTTCAAAGGGCCGCCCTACAGCTGATCAGTGTTAAAAGACAGTGTGGTGGTAGACCAGTGCACTCCAAAAAAAAATAGGTAGACCGGAATGCTCCAAAAACAAATGGGTAGACCGGTGCCTCCAAAAACAAATGGGTAGACCGGTACAGCTCTGCAAGCAGTTAAAAGCCTGGTAGACAAGTACCTCTGCTAAATCCTAAAGAATTGTCACATGACCATCAAACCACGCCCACAAAATAAGCCACGCCCACAGAACCAGTAGTAAAAAAATTTAGAACCCACCTCTGGTCTTCATGTGCGCATGCATGCTAGAAACCGGAAGACCAGGTGGCTAGAGGGCATGTGCTCACCGGAAACTGGAAGAGCAGCCACCTGGCGGATGCATGTGCATGGGGTGGCTGCTCTTCCGGTTTGCGGCATGTGCGCGCGCACTCCCGTTTTGACAGCTGGTGCCGAAAAGGTTCACCAACACTGCTATATAGCATTCTTAATATCTCAGCATATCATGGCCTGAAGGAAACTGTGTAATGTTTTTTTCTTAGACACACCCAAAATTCGTTTCCAGACCAACTGTTGATAAAAATCATTCCTGTGTAAGCAAAACATCTTTGTTTCCTTACCTTAAAGGGCCCTTAAGTAAAAGAGCTCTCAGCTGCATCTTTCTTGGCAATAATATACTATAGAATAAGTTTTCATTCTTCTGGTTATTACTTTCTTTTGGAACTTTTTTTGTTCAAATTCACTGCCTAACTTCAGCACTGGAATGCTATGTATTGGTGCTTTTTTATTCAAACTCTTATCTGGATCAACATCTCTAAATTCAGGTGCACTTGCTGAGAGCTGTAAAACACTAAAGTACAAAAGCATCCCACTCCACTTTTGAGAATTTGTCTACTTTCCCCTCCTTTAAAATAATTTCTAAAGCAAATTCTGTGTGATGACACACAATGAGAATTGGTGGGGGAATACAAGTGTATATAGAACATAGAATCATAGGGTTGAAAGGGACCTTGGAAGTCTTCTAATCTAACACCTTGCTCAAGCCAGAGACCCTACACCATTCTGGACAAATGTCTGTGCAGTCTCTTCCTAAAAATCCTCCAATGTTGGAGCACCCATAATTTCTGGAGGCAAGCTGTTCCCCTAATTAATACTTGTCAAATTTCTCATTTCTAGCTTGGTTCTCTCCTTGATTAGTTTCCATCCACTGAGGTTTGTGGATTGAACCTTCTCTCTGTTGGTGTCAAGAGGTTCCTTGGTTCTGCTCTCTGTCTACTGTCTATTACTACATTATTAGTAGTGGTAGAATAGAGCAAAGTTATGAGAAACCTAGGACTATGTTTAATATTCCTTCTCTGCTTATCAGATTTCAATGTTTTCTTTCCTCTTGCAGGCTTTTTATGGGAAGAACCAAGATTAAAATATACAATGTTTCTTCTGCTGGAAGATATCGGAGTACGGCTTTGATACATCAGCCATGATATCCTTCTATACCAGCAGGGGGTTTGGGTTTGGAGGTATTGTTTCGTGCTGGTTCTGCTCATTCCTTCATGGGTAGTTCCAGTTGTAATGAGAGAGGAGAATGAGCTTGCTCATCTCCCTTTGCTTTTTAATATCTATGTACATTTGTTGGATAAGGCTATCTATCAGTTCAGGGTGCAGTATCATAAATATGCCAGTGACTATCAGCTATATGAAGGGACGTGGTGGCTCAGTGGCTAAGACGCTGAACTTGTCGATAGAAAGGTCGGCAGTTCAGTGATTCGAATCCCTAGTGCCGCATAATGGGGTAAACTCCCATTACTTGTCCCAGCTTCTGCCAACCTAACAGTTCGAAAGCACGTAAAAAATGCAAGTAGAAAAATAGGGACTACCTTTGGTAGGAAAGTAACAGTATTCCGTGCGCCTTTGCCGTTTAGTCATGCTGGTCACATGACCACAGAGACATCTTTGGACAGCGCTGGCTCTTCGGCTTTGAAATGGACATGAGCACTGCCCCCTAGAGTCAGGAACGACTAGCACATATGTGCAAGGGGAACTCTTACCTTTACCTTTATCAGCTATATATAATTACCACAGGTTGAATAAGGGAGTCTATCAAAATCTCATTCCAGTATATGGAGGCTACAGATGGAATTATTTTCTGTTGCAGTTTTCTTTCATACCCTGCATTACCTCTTGATGTTCCCTGTGCCATCTTTTTGAGGTAGGCCAGGTCACTGCATGACTGGAATTTTGTTCACCTACTGTAGGCTACAGTGACAGTATCTTGAAAGTCTGTGTTTTCCCTTTCCTCCCTCTCTTTACCCCAAGGAGTTAAGGTGGAGCCAGTTTGAATTTCTTTCCCCTGCTTTTTTTGGCTTTCTGGACTTAAAACATGTTTTTGCAACTATTGTTGCATAGTTTATCTGTCTTTGTGGCTGTCCCCACCCTGAAGACCTGGGGGTACTCTTGGATTCATAACTTGATAGGCAAACAGAAGCTGTGGCTGGGGAGGAAGGGGGGAGGGCTTTTTGCAGCTGGTGCCTCAATTGCAGCCTTTCCTGGAATGTGAGAATCTTACAAAAAAAGAACTCATGCTTTCATTATCACTTTTGTGGATCACTGTAATGCCTCATTGGGCTATTTTGAAGATACCTACAACTTACATTAATCTAGAATGCAGTGGTCCAGTGATTAGTAGGTACGTGGTTCCAGTCAGTGGTGAAATCCAAATTCTTTTACTACTGGTTCTGTGGGCATGGCTTGGTGGGCATGACAGGGGAAGGCTACTGCAAAATCTCCATTCCCACCCCACTCCTGGGGGAAGGATATTGCAAAATCTCCATTCCCACCCCACTCTGGGACCAGCCAGAAGTGGTATTTGCCGATTCTTTGAACTGCTCAAAATTTCCGCTTCCAGTTCTCCAGAATCTGTCAGAACCTGCTGGATTTCACCTCTACTTCCAGTGCTCCAGTCCCTATACTGACTAGAGCTTAGAAACTATATTGGCTTCTGAGCACAGTTCAGGTTAAGGCTGTACACTCTTTGATTCTGATATAGCTCCAAGGCTGCTCTCTCCATCCAGTATCCACCTATTCAACTGTCAGCCTCCCAAGTAGACCAGAGAGGAAACACAACAAGATGAGTTAATTCTACTTTATTGAAGACTACATTAACTCAATGTTGCAAGTCAGAAAATACAAATGGCTTGCCATTTCTTTTTAACCATCTGATAATTTAGGGCAAACCCTTTCTTAGTTTCTTTCTCTGCCTGCTAGTCAGTTGTGGGCTCCTCCATTTTTTTATCTGATTGTTCCCTAGCCAGCATCTTTGCTCCCGATCTTCCAAGATCATTCTCACATTGGATTGCGCCAGCACATAGATCCTGGGAAAATTTGCTAATAGTTCTTCACTTTGGGGAGAAGGTATACAGAGGCTTATTAGTATATTTTCTCCATTACAGTACCTGCTCTTCAAAACATCCTTCCTCAAATATTCAATCAGCTCCCCCTCTTTTACTTTACAGACATTATTGAGAGCAGATTGAGGACAATTTTTTTGAATTATAAATATTGATGTCTATATGTTGGTTTTATTCTCTAGGTTTTTTTCTTCTTCAAAAAATAAACTCTAATATGGATTTTTAATTGTTCTTTATTTCTTCTATCGATCTAAGTAAAAATGTTTTAGACCATGGATATTTTAGCATAATTTGATGGAAGTACCGCTTGCCAATAATCTTCTGTTTGTGATGGGAAATGATTGAATAAATGAATAACTTATGTTTAAAAGTTAATTGTTCCGAAAATGGCTTGATATCTGGTTGTTCTCTCAATAAACCTTTACCAGGGTGGTGCAAAGCTTCAAAGAGATGCTATGACTTTTCCTCCAGGCAATGCAACCTCTGTTCTATAAACCAATGGCCAGGTTGCTACTCTGTCTGCCATTCTCTGCTCACGTCTGGCTGCCTAGACTTCTTCCTGTGCCTCTTCTGACTCTTCCCGTCAGCTTCTGGAAGTAGAGGAAAAGGTATTTGCATCTGCATAATATATGCTGGAAGCCTCTTCAGCTACATGAGTAGTTGGATGGAGCCTTAGAATGACACAAAGAACCTTAAAAGGCAAATCAAATCAATGACACAAAGGGGCCTCCCTGAGCTGAAGTTCAGCTGCCTTGCAGACCTTCTTTATTTCCCTGGGCAGGTCTCTTAAGAATAAAGAGAATGATTCCCTGACATTTTCAATTTTAAGAAAACTGAATTGTTAACAAATGTACCTTTCAAGTATCCACTGTAATAATATTTTCTTTAAGAATACACACACACACACACAGACATACACAGGGTATATATGTGTATGTATGTATATATATATATATGTATGTGTGTGTATACACACATGTTGCATAGATAGATAGATAGATATAGATGATATAGATATAGATATATAGATGTGTGTGTGTGTATATTCTCCCTCCCTCTCTCCCTCTCTCTCCCTTTCATGTGGGTGTGTGTGTGTGTATTTCATTGCCAGTGCAGAATGTAGTATACATCTCTAGATTTTAAAAAAATGGATCATAAAATTAATAGGGTACATTTCTATCAATGTCTATTAATCATAACAGTTAAAAATGAAACATCCATTTTCAGTGCATATAGGCTAGCCACACACTGTAAATATATGCAGGCCATTGCTAACATCAGCATTTCCTGCTGATATCTTGACTCTTAAAAAAAGTCTCCATAACAACAATCATACAGATATTTAGGGTATGATGACACATACATCATATTTAATAGGTGTAAATGAAGTTTTAAACCTTGTTTCAAAGTCAAATGGATATTTTTCTTAGGATATAACCTTTTTAGGGCATCGGGAAAAACATAAATTTTAATAAATTGATAGTCTTATTGCAACTTTAGTGACATGATTCATTTTCTATATAAACACAGTGTTCAAAATACTGAAATAAGTTATAGTCTAGGATATTTTTACAGAAAACTTGTATAAATTTGACAGTTTTAAATACTGCCAATGGGCGACAACAGACAACTGATGTCCTTTAACACAGAAAATTATATACTTTACTGTTTTTCTATTCAGGAAGGAGTTGCCTTAGATCTGAAGTGGCCAATTGGTGGCCTCAGGCCTATTTTTGTACCAATTCCATCCAATTCCCATCCAGTCATTATAGCAAAATGGCAATTTTGAATAGCTTAATTTGTATTTCTTTTGTACATTAGGTGTCAGAATAGAGCATTAAATGTCTCAGGTTTGTTTTGTCCTTAAAACTTCCTCAATGCCAACATTCCTCCCATTAAACAAACAAATAACAAATCTTTCTGCCAAAAAAAAAAAAAACAACCCACAATCCAGAGCTTTGCCTCCTCTAGTGATAAAATGATAGCTCTATATCTTAGTCATACCTTCTGGGCATATCAAGGTAAAAACAAACCAACCAACCCTAAACATTGGGTTAGTTAGATATGCAGCATGATGAAGGTTTCTAATCAGCCACCATGTTTACTTTCTGAGAATGTCTCTCCTATTTTTAGCTATGTAGTTCCAACTGATTACACTCAGGGAAATGTGGCAAAGAAAATCATTCCTGGTCAACATCACAGAATATATGAGTTGGCTCTTCAGGAAATGTACTGAAATCTCTGACATAATTTATACACAGATGTGTCCTTATATTCTACTTAGAAAAAAATAGAGTGAATACATCTCAAGTGACAAATAATTTTAGGTGATGGTTAGGAAGCACCCCTTATATTTTGCTTTATCTTTTCAAGAAAGGAATTACATGAGAGGAAAAAATGCAGGAGCAGCAGCCACGAAAAGGAGCTCTGGACTGGATCAAAATGTATCTGTAAGGAGATTATGGCAAATTATTCACACATGCCTGGACACACATATATTGATGAAATGAGACATAGCTAGCATTGGAGGTCAACAGTACAAATAAATTTAGGATTCTGCTTCTGGCTTTTTCAAATACCCAGGGAAAAAGGAAAGGTTATATTTCCCCCTAAATCCTTGAAAGGAATGAAGGATGAAGAGTTCCACTTAGAACACATTATTTTCTTAGTACTTTCTGTTAAGGAATAATGGTTATTATAGTTTAACACAGTAGCCCTAAGAATCCCAGAATTTCATACTCCAGAAATCTGAAGAATTACCTCAATAAGGCTAGAGGTTTTTTGGATGTTTAACTGCAGTTTCCTTTCTCATTTTATGCTCCTTTTTATTAAAATTTAATTCCAAAATTAGATATGTGGGTGGATGCAGCACATATTACTTTATGAGTGTGCTGCCCACAGTTTTCTTTATTTGTTGGACTACAGTAAATTATGTTCGGAGTGGTGATGATGAGGACGATGAGGACGATGATCATAATATTGCTTCTATTTTAATAAAAAATACATGAGAATCAACAAGTGCACAATACAGCAATTCATTCATTTATTCATTTGTCCAATTTCTATAGTCACCCATCTCACAAACACATGACTCTGGATGCCTTACAACAAAGCTAAAACAATCAATAAATATTTATTAATGCAATTAGCATCACGTAATTGAAATATTAAAATCTATGAAACAAAACTAAAAAGAAGACGTAACAAGTGATATGTCATCATGTATTTGGGGAAACTGTTTTCTCTCTCCCCATTTTGAAGTGGGACAGATGGCTATGGGTTGGGCAGCATGCATGTCATAGTAAAGCCTTTTCAAAATAAGATTAAAATAATATCATGTATTCATGCAGGGATTAATTCTTTAGGCCTAAATGAGGCAAAAGCCAGTGGAGAAATTCAACAGCTTGCTGACTAAGCACCCTGTCTCTTTATCAGTATGCTACATTGTCTGAGATTACGACCTGCTTATTGTTTCTAGACAGAATTAAAGGGTACTTGTACACTTATGAAGGATGGCAGCAACAATTCAGACTGAATTAATCCAATATAACCTCAGTTGATGACCAACCCTTCTTCCATTCTGATCAGCTGAAAAGCAATCCATTTACCTGAATACAGATCCCATTGCAAAGGTAGCTTTCTGAAGTAGCCAGTAATATTGTAAGAACACTTGTATGGACAAATAAAGTCCTTTCTCCATTATTTGTAAACAGACAGATCACATACTCTAGGATAGGGGAAGTCAAGATTTTAAAAGAAGCCTGATACGCCAGTTGCGCCCCTTTCTAGATCAGGACTCCCTACGCACAGTCACTCAGGCACTCGTCACTTCCCGCCTGGACTACTGCAACGCTCTCTACATGGGGCTCCCCCTGGGGTGCACCCGGAGGCTCCAGCTGGTCCAGAACGCGGCCACGCGGGGGATTATGGGGGCGACGAGGCGCTCCCATGTGACACCTCTCCTGCGCGAGCTGCACTGGCTCCCGGTGGTCTTCCGGGTGCGCTTCAAGGTGTTGGTGACCACCTTTAAAGCGCTCCATGGCTTAGGGCCGGGGTACTTACGAGACCGCCTTCTGCCACCAATAGCCTCCCACCGGCCAGTGCGCTCACACAGAGTGGGCCTCCTCAGGGTGCCATCCGCCAGACAATGTTGGCTGGCGACCCCCAGGGGGAGAGCCTTCTCTGTGGTGGCGCCCACCCTCTGGAACAACCTCCCCCCAGAGTTACGGATAATAACAGACCTCCGGATTTTTCGTCGGGCCCTGAAAACCCATTTATTTCAACTAGCTGGGCTGGCTTGAGTCAAATTTTAAACTGATTTTAAATTGGAATTGTTTTAATTACGGCCAAAAGATTTAATTATTTTAATCAGTTTTTAGATTTTGTATGTTTTGTATGTATGTCTTGTTTTATTTTGGCTGTTCACCGCCCTGAGTCCTATATTGGAGAAGGGCGGTATAGAAATTTAAACAAATAAATAAATAAAATAAATAAATAAAGACCATGTTGGGAAAAAAATGTCTTACATGTGCAAAAAATGTAATATTTAATCATAAAAAGCAAAAGTTTATTTATTTATTTATTTGCTTGCTTATTTATTTATCAAACTTGTATACTTCTCATCTTGCCAAAGGCAAGGTGTACTCTAGACTAATGTACTCTAGACATTAAAAACAATACAGAATAAAACACTGAAGCAATAAAGATCTATAATTTAAAAATTCAATTAAAAATAACTGCCATATTTTTCGGAGTATAAGATGCACCAGAGTATAAGACGCACCTTAGTCTTTGGGGAGGAAAATAAGAAAAAAACTGATTGGCAGGTGGATCGGCCTCCCGGAATACCCCCAATCAACTGTTCTCAGAGGTGAATTTTAGCAACAGGTTCCTTGGTTGTGAGCTCTGTGACTTGCTTTTTTTTTTTTTTTTTTGCTTTTTTTTCCTGCCTCTGAAACTTCTGAAACTCTGTTTCAGAAAAAACTTTTTTTTCTGTCTCCAAAAGCTTCCGAAACAGAGCTTCAGAAAAAAAGCCTCTGAAGCTCTGTTTGGGGGCTTTTTTTCTGAAGCTCTGTTTGGGGGCTTTTTTTCCTGAAGCTTTGTTTGGGGGCTTCTTTTCTGAAGCTTTGTTTGAAGCCTTTGAAACCTCCATTTGAGAAATTGGGCAGGGCTACATTCGGAGTATAAAACGCAGCCAGATTTTCACCCTTTTTTGGGGGGGAAAGGTGCACTTATATTCTGAAAAATATGGTAAGCAGCTGCAGATGGTGGGACAAAGTGTGTGCAGGGAGGAGATGGCGTATTCTCTATTCCATTAGTCACCTCCAATGTGCTATATGCCTATTAGGGCTGGAGGCTATTTGG